TCATTCATTCATTATGTGAATAATATGGCGAGGCGAGACCTCGTTAATCCATAGCTCGCTCGACTTTTGAGGGTTGTAGTTCAAGGGGGCGACAGCTGGTTAACGAAAACACTGATTTTACCAGCTTTTTTCCATACAAGAGACAAAACACAATGTCGGTATTGAACAGTAAAAACTAAATAAAATATATAAAACTAAGTGTTGATGTGAAACACGGAATAAAAAGTTGTGGCAAAGTCATGACAAACTACTCATCAGTTGAAATGTTCGGTAAATATCAAAATTTATAATAGTCATATTCTATTCTAGGTTAAAAATATGTAAAGGGTATCAACTTCAATTCAGATTATTTCATTGCTCAATTGCACTTTGTTTCTCATTTTTTGTTATTTATTTTCAGATTATGTAATTCCTTATTGCATTCCCAATGACACCAATTTCAAAAAAGGTGTCAACTGCATTTTTGAAAGTGACGTCACCACAGCTCTTGAATTGTTGATGGCATTGAAACCAGAATTACAGAAGAGAGCGATTGCTAATAAATGTTTTGACAAAACTCTGAAACCACATATGACTTCTTCTGAAATAGTGAATTTTTGTGTATCAAATTATGCTATACAGGTGAACAACGTTTTTTGTTGTTTTTTCTAAGCTTTGATTTAATTTTTTTAGGATCCTATGCAAATCAGGTCTGATCTGCATAATTTGGAGATTTTGATATTTAACAATCCTGATTGGGGCATAAGAGTTGCACAGACTGAAAATAACAATGGTTTGATTAGTGAAGCTGACATAGCTAAAGATATGGTGAGTTATTGAAGAAGGAAATTTGTCATAAACAAATTTAAATAAATGTTTCATATACTTTTTCTTACAGGAACAGGTGATATTTCATGAAAATGATAAAATCACAAGTCTGGTAATTCCTTATCCCGATTTACCATGGAAATGTACTTTCTACAAAACTTTCCATCTGGCGCTTAACAGTGTCCTACTTGTTTCATTGATTTTTGCTGCTTTGTACTTGCTCAATTATGTATATAAATATTATAAGCACTACCAACAGAAACAAAAAGATGAAATTGGTTTCATGGTGGAGAAAATAATCGATATATTACAATCGAGTTGTGGTGAAGAAGGAGGCGATCCATTCCTTGTTATCAACCATGTTAGAGATATGATATTGCCCATAGTTGACAGACAAAGTAAGTAATAAAATGATACTTATAACTGACCGCTTTTTTGATATTGAAGTACAATCTTCATAAATATCCTTCAACTTGGCGTTGATCTCATCGGTCATTTTCTTGAAAAAAAATTAAATGACTCATTTCCGTAACAATTCATGAATTGTTCACTTTCAATGACTTAAACATGAACTAAGTAATTATCTGACTAAAAATTGACAAGAAATCATCCCAAGGTTAATATTTGAGAATGACAACTTGATGTTATTGATGACGCCTTCTCTTGCCTAGGTCGACTACTTATTAAGTCAGCCTTGAAATTGTGTATTTGAAATGAGTCCCTGACAGTAAAGCAGTCTATTTTCAAACTCGTTTCTAGCATTTTGGAATGTTTCTGGGATAATTCTAGCACAAGTATCGGTAAGTTCCTGTATTGTAAGTTCCCGTATTGCCCGAAGTTGCATAACATAAACTTTCAATTTGATATAATAACCCCAAAGGAAAAAATCGAGAGGAGTCAAATCCGATGATCGAGCAGGACATTCTAACGGACCACGCCTACCAATCCACATACTTGGTATGTCTGATCCAACCACAGTCCTAAAAAATGTGGGGTTGCACCATCTGTTGGAAAACAACTGGATTCTCTAATTTATCGTGATTGTTAGCCACAATTTTTTTAAATCCATGAGTGAATGGAGTTCTGAAAAATTTCCGAATATAAATAACCAGTCAGATTTTCCTCTAGATATCTGGAACCAACAATATGATTTCCCAATATTCCTGCTCAGACATTTATTTTCCTAGGAGTTTGAGTTTGACTTTCCTCGAAAATATGTGGGTTTATCTCTGACCGATATCGCACATTTCCGTTTTAGAAAAAAGTACTTTCATCACTAAAACAAATACTTTTTATGCAGTTTTAATTTGCAATTTAACAATCAGACACTGACTCACAAATCTGTCTTTTTCTGTCAAGGTAATCTTTATTTAATTCACGTGATATCTTCAGTTTATAGGAGTGAAAGTTATGTCTTCTGACATATTTCTTGACGGTGGTTGTCGGAACATCATTCTCAGGAACAACTACTGTCATGGACTGCAGGGAGTAATTCTCAACAGATGCACCGATTTCTATCTGTTTCTTATCCGAGAACCATTAATATTTTATAGTAAATTCTTTGGTATACTTTTTATACACATGAAGCTCCACCCCCTAGCATACCCTGAAGCTGCTTTATTTTATAATAATTGTTTGCCCGATTTCAAAAGAAGTGTTATTTCAATCTTATTCGCCAATATCGCTGAGGTTCTTGTGCAAATCCCTAAGAAACGTTGCTTTTAAAAATGTTATTATTTCAAGACAATATCAAAAGATAACAGGTATTTTGCTCAGAACACTTGGATCTTCCGGAAATGAATATTTGATTTCGTGACACACTTCCATATAAAATTGAGAAAATATTTTTCAAAACAGAATCTATCATTGCAATATCAAGGAATTAATTTATATACAAATATATGCTTCCCTTTGGAAGAAGAAACATTCTATTCTTGAATCCAAAATATCTATATACGAATTCTAGTGATCAATACAAGTTTGAGTTTTTCAAATAAACATAAATAAAACTTTGTGCGACTTATTTAAAAATAATGATTCTATCGCCATTTTAGAAAAAGAAAAAACTTGGGCGAAAGCAGTTCAGTTTATAAATGAAAATGAATCGAGAGTGAGAACTGAAGTCCAAGAAGTGAAAGGAGAGCCATTTGAAGTTTGGAGATGGATAGGAAGTGCAAATATAAGTATGGGAGGGTAAGTATTTAGTAAATATTTTGAAATATTTAAAAACAATTAGAAAATTAATAGTCCCAATTTTCTAATTGTGTGTTGTACAAGTCTGGTATAAGTATATACATTTTTTGTACATAATTTAGTTTTATATTTCATATTGATGTTTCTATTTCCTAATTGTTATTCAAAGGCAAGGAAGTATCCCAACATCCCTATAGATAATTTTAAAAATTAACAACCTTAGTGAGCTCCAATAATAATTCAGAAATGTACAGCAACAATGCTAAACAAAGCCTAAAGAGGTTGGTAATTTTTGATTTTATCTATTTTTCAGGGATCGCTCGGATTATGTCTATCGTCATGGAAGGAGAATTGTTGATGCCCAATATTTAATAACTGAAGTTCTGAAATTTCCGCACAACCGTTTCCGATTTTGTAAAAACACTGATGTGGTCATCAAGAATGAAATTCGAGAAGGGCTTCTCTCCATTTTAGTTCTTCATTGTCAAACGTGTAAAAGGGATCACTCTGTGTGCAGTGAAGATCCAAATTCAGAATTGATGAGCGTAAATTTGGCACTTGTTGCTGGAATAGTTAGCTTAGGATTGGGTTTGTATCATTTGAACGAACTGTGCAGCTCTTTACACATCCCTGCTATATCAGGAAATGATTACAGTCAATATCTAGATGAAATTTACGACATTTTCAATGAATCTATTATAGACAGTGAAAAGAGTATTGAGTCATCATTCGAAAAACAAATTCTTCGTTCTTCAACTCCGAAAAAGAGATCAATTGATAACGAATATGACCAAAAGAAGAATCAATTTCTGAAAGAGTTGAAAAAATCTCCCGAGGAAATTGAAATGCTCTCCAACATGACCATAAACCAAAGAGACAGTCCATTGTGGTATCAGGAGAGAAATAAACGTTTAACAGCTTCAAATTTTGGGCGAATATGTAAACTCTTGGATTCAACAGATAGAAAGAAAGTGGTTGAAGAAATATTACATTCGACTTTTCAAGGAAACATTTATACCAGATACGGAAATGACAATGAAATGAATGCGATTAGAGATTTCGAAATATTAGTTGGGCAGAAGGTCATCAGCTGTGGACTGTTTATTCATAAAAACTATCCATTCCTTGCTGCTTCACCCGATGGACTTTTAGGTGACGATTCTATTGTAGAAATCAAGTGTCCCTATAAAGCAAGAAATGTAACTCCTGAGGATGGCATCAGACAGAAACTGATTCTGTTCGCTAATTTTGAAAACAGAAACTTCACTTTAAAGCGGACTGATAAATATTACTATCAAGTGCAGGGCCAACTTTTCGTAACGGGTAGGGACATTTGCTATTTTATTGTCTGGACCCCACATGGAATAGTATATGAGAAGATTTTACGGGATGACGAGCTTTGGAATACAATGTTTCCCAAGTTGGAAGAATTTTATTTCACTCATTTACTGCCTGCCATTTTGAAGGATCAAAATTGACTGTTTTTCATTTCAAGTGCCTCATTGTAAAAATGGAATTGATTGTTTTTGAACTCAAAATGTAACAGAAAAGAAACAGTTATTATTTTTATTTTGAGAATACTATATACTTATTTCAACTCCTGTTATCCTTTTTGAAGAAAAACTTCAATCCATTTGTTGGATTTTTGATTGTGATAAAACCAAAAGGCATATTTGGTTAGTACGATATTCTACAAAAAAAACTATTTTGTATTTAACATTTTTCATTTCAAACTATTTTTAAATTTTTTAAAAACCAAAATACAAAGTATATAGAAGTGATAGTCTAAATAATTATTTCAATAACTTTATAGGAATTATGTTGACTTTTGAATACCTTACAGTTAGGTAAAACTATTTATTTTTATCTTGTAATACTTTATACATGTATGAACTTATGTTATATAAATAAATCATTGAAAAATAAGAGATATTGAATAGTTTTTTTTTCAACTAAGAGAATATAAGAATAAAACTGCAGGTTAACCATGATAAGCGAAGAAAACTTCTGTAAACATTTCGTTAAAGATGTGGTGTTTAATTTGAAAAATGGAAAAACACGTTTTTACCATAGTTTTTAATGTGTTGAAAAATATATCAACGATGCTCCCTTGCAAAATTAATGTAGATTGCAGAAAACCTTCCAGAAACTTCAAATTCAGTTGATGGTCTACATTTTCGGATATATGACCAGCATCATAAATCATTTAAAAACTAATCCTTCAGTGATAAAATTTTCATTAGAGTGAAAGAAAAAATTAAAATGAACGCTTCTTATGAAAATGTCTGAAAAAGAAAAAACTTCAACTCTTCTTGGATGTTACATAGAGTAAAAGTATCATAAAGTGAATTGAGATTGTGTTTTTGTTGAATTTTTCTTGACAACTTCTGTAAAAAATCTATGTGAAACTATTTAAAATACTGAACTCGCACTAGATGATCATCATCTCCTGATGACGCTAACTTTTTTCTGGTGTGGGAAAAGAGTTTTCAATAGATTCATTTTATGCCAGAGGTTCCAATTCTACCTATTATGCTGTGTGAAAGTTGAGATAACCATTTAAGCAGAAGTCAAAATTCCAAAAAATTAATGAATCAAATATTGGCCAGTAATGTGCAAAAAAAATAGAAAACTTCAACACACAGGACATGTCATAAGAAAAAGGTATTTTTGTGTACATTTTGTATATGTTGAAATTTTTGCACCTATACTTTTAATGAAATGTTAACAGTAAAAAAATGGTGTCAGTTATATTGAAAATAATCTAGAAAACTTGATAGGTAGACTCGGGACTTGGAAAACGGTTAAATGAAAGAAAGAAAATCAATTCAATTATAAATGAATAGTGAACAGCAATAGTGACAACAGTAATATAAATAAGTATTCAAGATTTTGCATTTGGAAAAGAATGTGAACAAATCATTTCCATATATGTGAACAATATTTCAAAATGGATTTGTGCCTTGGTGATCATTGCAAGTTATTGGAGAGTAAAATAGCTTCTCTTGTCAAAAATGCTAGTTTTTGCAGTGCTGGTGGATATCATTTATAAAACAGAATAAGATGTAGCTAGGTAGTGTATACTTAGAAAAACCGATGTGGTGCAATAATGTCAACTATCTGTGTAAAAAAACTATAGAGATAAATTTACCTATTTGGAATCACAAACAACGTTAAAATGCTTATAATAGCTTTTTCACTCTTGTATCTAGTAATATGGGATACTTTTTCATTGTTTTGTTACAAACGATGAAAGACGTAAATTCACATAGATTCATAGAGAGTATTAAAAAAAAGAATTTCATTTATTGGAGGAGTATCTCTAAAATAATGTTTGTGGTATATAAATGTATCAATATCAGCTCATAGCAGGTATAGGTTTTTCTGGTAGAGTTCTCTAATTCTTAGTATTTTTGAAATCCACAAAAATAACGGATCAACATTATATGATCTTGATCAAGGTCCTCTTGGTTCACCGGTTCAAGGTAGTATGATGTCATCTGCGAAACTGTGTATTGGGCTGGATGTTCTGTTGAGTAGGTTGTTTACAAAAAGCAGAAGTAATATCTGTACGATGATTCACCCTATGGTATGAATCGGGAAACTTCATCTGTTACCATACACAGAGAGACCTTTCCCAAAAAAGTTTTACACTAGAAGGTACAATCCTGCTGACATAGACAGAATATTTTCCTTGATGCTATATATGGTTGAAGTCTTTAAATGCATTTAAACCTACTTTCAAAGACTCTGTTCCTCATGTTGAAGCTAACTCTCAAAAATGCGAAAAAAAAACAGCTGTTGCTGTATTTTTTTAAATTGACAAATATTTTTTCTATTTTCAGCCAAAAAAGAGTTTTAAAATGTATGCAAAAGTTTTCGAAATTAGAAAGAAGCTAATTTTTAAATATATTAATTAAAGCAGATATTTTTATTGTTTATCCTTTTCCAAGCTCTGTCCAGCCCCTTCCTACATATATTCTCCTTAGCAAGTTTCTATATCAAGCTCCTAACCTATATATTGATGTATGTTTTTTAGGTCTCCAAGAAACAAGAGCTGGCAAGGTCAAGCATTTGAAACCCAAGTTGGATCTGTTAATAGCTTGCCTTGTTCACCCACGCCGTGTCTCAAAATACGCGGAATGGTAGAAGATGGCGATAGAAACATGCACATAATTCGGGAAGCAGTTCTTAGTAAATGTGCTCACCAGTGTCGAATCCTACATTGCGCAGTTGATACAAGTTCAAACTGTGTTTATTTGAAATGTGCTGATCCCAACGATGCTGCCATTGCTTATAGAAATCTCCATGGTTGGTGGTGAGTGTTTAAAATGTTTTAACAGTAATAAAAGTGCATGTTGTCACTTGTTGAATGTATTCATTTGTAATGCTTATAGTTTGAAATAGGGAACAGTACATTCAAATTTTTGTGAATGACCTCAAAGCTAATATTATTTTCTCTTTTCAGGTATGCTGGCCATCTGGTAACTGTCAAGTATTTACGCCTGGAACGTTATATGCAAAGATTTGCTGATTCACCAGTATCTGGTCCACCATTTTTAAAAGCTATAACGCCTGCCACAGATTGGTCTAGTTAAATTATTGAATCTTTATTTTTCATTATTTAAATTTTGTCTCACGTTCGTGAAAGTTTGACTTGAGTAATTGGGTTTAAAGGCAATTAATGTTTCTATTGATCTAGATATATTTGTTTGAATTGTTACACCTGAGAACTTTCTTGGAGTCGATCTCCAGTAAGTAAAACTTGCCTTCTGAAATAAAGACGGAAATCTTCGATATTAGACTATTGCATAAGGCTGACTGAGGTTTTTATATGAAACAAGAAACTGTATTATATTTTTTTGATAAGTTTTTATTTAACACATATTTAGTAGAATTCAAATGTTAACTTTGTTCTGTTCTGTAAGAATGTTAATTGAGTTTTATTATAACAGTTTTTTGTAATATAGGAAATTTTTAATAACTTGTAAGTTTAAGACATTGATTTGTATTAAAACACATTCATGAATTAAAAAATGCTCATTTATTTGTACAATTAAATATAACGAAAAACTCAAAACTAACAAAAAACAACTTTCTCAGTTTTTGTTCAAAACAAAAAATAAAAATATATTCTTAAAAAATAGATGCCAAAAATAAAAGTTACAACCAATGGAATTCGGTAAGATTCACCATTAAGGATATTTTCAGACATATTCGTATTTTGAAATGATTTCAATAACATGAAATAGGCTGGTAAAGGGTGAAATTGAGGACACTTTAAGTGTCGTGAACCCATCAAAAATTGAAGTATCCTTCCTATGAACTATTCAAAATAATTATCCACCGGTTTTATCACACAACTTGTTGAAACTCATCCCTGGTTTCTCAATACCACTGTTGGAATCTGAATATAAAAAATATTTTTGTCACTATAAAAATACTTTAAAACTTATAGTACAAAAAGTGGTTAATAATTTTCAACAAATAAAAAAATATTGCACAGTAATATTTTGTTCAGCTTCATACAACAAAATCATGACCATCAGCTTTCAGAATAATGTATCATTGAAAGCTCTGTTCACAGTTGAAAAATATTACCAATATCTCATACTGGAAACGAGAAGAAAACTGAACAATCCAGAATGACTTGTAAAATAATCAATGATGTGCGAAATGACCAACATTGTAAGCAACAATTGTAACGTGATCGAGTTTTCCAGGTAAATTTTGAACTTTCTCCAATCCTTTTTTTCTTCTAATTTTTTTCTCATGACTTGAAACTTCTACTAAAACACCATTTTTGTGGTCAAAATAGAGATCCTGGTCTTCCAAAGAGTGACGCTTGGCGGAGGTAATACTTACTGTGTAACTAATTAGTATTTCACACAACCTCTTTGCCAAATTACACGGCGAATCCTTACCTATAAAAATAATGTTGAATAGACTTCCAGTTCTGCGTTATTTCTCGCGATTGCTCACCTGATATGCCGTTTTTCAAAATATCTTCAATCAATAATAGCTGCAATTCATATCTTTGAACGGGTGTTATATAAGGTACCCCATCTTCATTCCGAAGTATCTGTTTTGAAGTGGAAGCCCTAATATCTATCGTTGTTTTTGAACGTGAAAATTTATTTCCTCCAGTTTTTTTCACTGACCTATTCGTATCTTCCATGCTTTGAAGTGTTTTGCTCGAAGGTTGTGCAACAGATTTGTGACTAGATTGAACAGTTTCCTGTCGTAACTGACTAGATGCTTGGCGTCTTAGACTACTGGCTTTGTTCTCAACCACTGTGGGTTTTTTATTATCTACAATGTTGGATAAAACAATAAAAACTATAAAATTAACGGAAAAGAGAAATTTCTAGACAAATCCCTTTGACAAAGAAAATAGTATATTACGTCCCGAGTAGGATAAGAAGCCAATTACCCACGAGCGAAAAATTGTAAGCACAAGGCGTTAGCCAAGTACTATAATTCGCGAGTGGACGTAATTAGCCTTATTCTCGAGGTGCGTACTATACTTTTTCTACGACTGACCGTAGAAAGGAATGGTACAATATATTTGTTTGAGATTATGACTTTGGATAATAAATTCATTGGCAGTTTATAATTAAAACAAGTGATTGTTGATTCACAAATATAACTAGATTCATTACCAACCCACAAAACACAATAAATTTACTGAAAATATGATTTTTATTTTGATTTTACAGATAATTTGGAGGGAAAATTAACTGATTTTGGCTTTAGGACAATTTAATGTATTCATGGGATCATATTTATCAAAGTGAATGTTACATATCTCATAATTTTTTTAAATTTCTTAAGGAGGTGGCTGCCATTACCTACCTGATGTCATGGAGGGAATAGAAAAAAAATTGATTATTTGATCAAGCAAATGTGAAAAATTTGACACCCTCAGGAAATATCCGATTAAAATCACTACATGATTATCTATCATTATATCACAAGCATCAGAAAAATCATTAAATAGTTAATTATTTTTAGGTTTTAAAACGGATAGTATATTTTGAAGTAATCATAAATAAAGATACCAACACATTGATCCTAAGTGAAATAAAAAGAGGAATGTAATATTTTTAGCTTCTAATGGATGGGCAGTTTCATTACTTTTTAGCAGAAGTAATTTGAAAGTCAGTTTATTATTAAATCATTCGCTTTAGCAATACTATTCATTTAGAACTTTAGCAACTTCCTATCTCAGGAAATGATCGACTATTAATGCCAACAGTGTTGATCAAGAAGTATAAAATACCATTCTAACATGAAAATATGGAAAATTCAAAATTATATTTGTATCCCAGACGTACATTGGAAATCAAAATGGGATTTTTGAATTAATCATGTAGACATTTTTTTCTCCATAATACTCTAATAATACCAGGATTTGTAAGTTACATGATTTGAAAGGAGCACCAAGTCCACTTCCTAATATACAAATACAGCTAAGGAATTTAAATACTGAATTATTATTTCGACAATTCTGAAAATTTGTAAAAATACTCACTTTTGTTTATTTTTGGTGAATCTTCTACTGAATTTTCTCTTATAAAAGCTGCTACAAGCGGATTATCATAATCTACTTTCGGTTTATCAGTACTAGTAGAGCTGCTCTCTAAAGTTTTGTAAGGTGCTTCACTAGTCAATCTTTCAGCACTTCTTGCATCTGCAGATGTATTATTATGTATTATATTACTAACTTCGGAATGTTTAATTAGCGATAGTGAATCATTAGTTTTATTTTGAAACGTCATATTTTCGACTGATGGTGAAGAAGACTTCTCTGAAATTGTGTTGCTTTTGATGCTGTTCCTTTCAGTAGAACTTCTGCTTGAATCATCTCTATTCTTAGATTTTCTCGGTGGTTTGATTGGTGGTTTTGGAATAGTTTCAATGACTTTAATGGGTTTGACAACAGACTGTTTAATTTCTACAGGTACCTGTGACTGTGTTCCTCTTGGTGGTTTATTGGTACTTGGTCTTCGTGATTTTGTAGGTTCAGTATTTACAGTAAACTTGCAAACGTTTGGATCAAAATTATCAGTGAGTCCATCACTGGCAACCATTACAATATCCCCTTTTTGTATGGTTGTTATGGAAAGAGTGAGGTTACTCAGTTCTGGGTTGATTCCATCAACTGGCCCCAATGCTCCAAGAGCATCCCTCATGTCTCTATTGCAATTTATATCATGTGAACCTGTAACCATAACGGAAAAATATTCAACATATCTCAATGAAAGAAATAGTCAAATAACAATACTCATTGTGTTCTTATTCTAGTTTTTCAAATTAAAAATTTTCATTTCTGTTGAATACAGAGACAAAATTGTCGTCATTGAAACACCCTCTCACTTTACTGTCAAATTTGCAAATTATATATCACCAAGTAAACTACAAAAAAAAAACATTTACAACTACCTGGGTACCAGGTTTGCTAAGGAAATTTGTGTGGTAGTTGACATAAAAGAATTAACATTACATTATAAACTATTTGTATTTTCCTGATAAGACACTAATATTTGAACCCACAACTGATCTTGTTTTATATACCCTTACTATTGGATAGCTAAACCTATACAAAAAGGCTAAGAATGGTATAGTATGTTCTTAACATTCCATAGCATTCAAGTTTGCTCTGGAATGTTAATGTTAATCTGGAATGTTTCAGACTATTTTTGAACATTCAGAATGTTCCAGGATGTTTTGGAATGTTCTCAAAAGTTCTGAATTATTCTGAAAATCTCTAGAGTGGGAAACTTCCGGTCCATATATCTTCAAAAGCATGCCTTTCAGGTAAGAATGGCACTCTTCTTCCAGGCTGGATATAGAGGGCATGAATTCCAGTTGATCACGGACTCGTTTCTGAGTTTGTACACTTATAATTTGAAATATAAAAATTGGATGCGCTTCCGGTGAAACCGGATTTGAAACATCCATATAAAATAACAATGAAGATACAGGGGGTAAATTGGTTACGGGTCAACTCGTATATCAATGATTTCACTATCTCAAATAAAATTGAAGACAAGTTTATTGAGAATTTGTATTCACTGTATAAATGTATAATTGCTGCAAGTTTTGTTTATATAGACTACTTGGTAAACGTAACCTTTTCTGGGAAAACAAAAATAAAGAACAATGTATTTTTCTCTAAACACTATGTCACATAATAATTTGATTCTACATTGTTCAATACATTTTTTGTGATATATCTAACCAGTGAATGAGGTACATTTTAATAAGTATGCCTACTTGAAAAGCATTAAAACATAAAAGTAATAAACTTCCTTAACCCTTTCTGTCCCGGGCCTTGATTTACATGTTGGTTCCTCAGTCCCAGAGGTTTTTTCATGCTAAGAGTCCCATTGCCTTATATATACGTCGCATACAAATAAACAAATAAATGACCAAATAATGTTTTTTTAATGGGAAAAAAATATATTTTTTAACAAACCTAAACGTTTTCTGTTTAGAAATACTGATCAGAGAGCAAAACCAACTTGAAAAAATCTAACTAACTTTAAAAAAATAATGTAAAAAATTAACATTATAAGTTTTCTTTTGTGTGATACTCCTCAAAACACGGTACTACGCAAAGACCAACTCCGCATCTTGCACACATGTATCTCGATTTGCTTCTTTTTTTCTGGCCACTTCTGTGGCTACAAACGACACATCGCTTCACTTTCTTATCAGGAACTGAACTAGGAAAATGTTGCCCTTTGAGCCTTCAAGGATTCTTGGTTAAAGGGTTTATACTTCTGTTTTTTTCATGTTTATATCTGAAACAAGATGAAGAAATAAGTGCAGAATGAAAAAAATAATTATTACAAACTTACCCATCAAAAAGTGCTCCTATAATGGTGAGTTGATAATCTGCAAGCGGTAGCCTTGCTGAAGATTGGGTCAAATAGAGTGTCTGTGCGTTGAGAAGAGAAAGATCAACCATGTGGAAAAATAGCTTTTTATACCATTTTGTGGACTTTCTTATACATTCCGTGGAGCTCAACATCATATCTGATCGATCTATTGCACCCATATTTTCGTTGTAATCCACAACAATAGCTGGTTTTTGTATGGGTTCTTCGGTCTTGAAATCTACTTTGTCTAACGCTACTATGCGATCTTCATGAAAAGTAGTTAGCATCATAACATCACGCCTATCCTTCCATTTCACGCAAAGCAAATTTTCGGCACATATCGAGATAGACTCTCCTTTAGATAATTTCTGAGTTAAATTGGGCATCTCTTTACGATTAGGACGGACTGTCCCGCAGGAATTAGTCTTATGTTTATGCAGATATGTACACAAAGTAGGGCTAGTGTACCAGTTGTCTGTGTACAGGTTATGGCCTTTGTTCAAATATGGATCCATAAGTTTTGCTACAACTGAGCCTGATATTCCAAGATCTTGGAACAGAGTAATATCTGTCGATTTTCCAGTATAGACAATAACACCTAATACATAGCCTGTCTCGCAGTCACATATTAGAAAAAGTTTCATTCCAAAATGATGGCGTTTGGTCTTTATATACTGTTTGAATCTCAAACGCCCCTTGAAAAGAACTAAGCTCTTGTCGATACCAAAATTTTTAAATGAAGTCAAGTACTTTTGGAACCGTGATGTAATTTTATTGAACACTGATCTGTTTGTGAAAAGAATCACCTTCTTTTTGGTCAGCATTAACTGAAAAGTGTAACATGCCAAGGATTGCTTGGAAACGATTCCTTGACATTATTTCGGAAAATATTGGTGTATGAAGCAATTTATCAGTAGACCAGTTTTCTCTAACTTCATTTTATCCATGTCGTGAGGCTAGCAACATAACACACAAAAACACGTAAAATTCGTTGATATCAGTTTCGCTCCATTTCTTTTTTTTATTTGCATAAACCTCGGAAGCATATTTGTTAGTTTCAGAGACAATAATCTCAACTATCTCTGTGTCCATAAATAAAAAAAAATAACTTAAAGCATCCGACTTATTTTCTATGGAGTCCAAGTGTGCTCCGGTCTCTCTATCATCAAAATCATGCACTACGGGAATAAACGGAGTTTTATTCCATTTCAGAACCAAATTTTGTTTTAGGGCCAAATTATCTTGAATCACTTCAGGTGTTTTATTATTTGTATTTCTGTCTTGACCATCAACAGGATTTTCTTCGTCAGATGAGCCATTATTGCTATTTTTGAACTCATCAAATATAACTTCATTTATCTTGTCATCTTCATCTGAATCTGGATTATACTCACTGCCACTAGAGACATATGGCTCTTCATCAGAGTCTAGAGCTTCCAAAATATCGTCATATTCCAGTTTTTGATAGCCCACAAAAGTTTTCTACATCCTCATACTTTTTACGCTTAGAACCACGTGCTTTACTCATATCGCGCGCACGATTGCGACTGTTGTACCTGAAATGCTTTTTAAAACTGAATTTTGAAGTGGTGCAACACGCCAAATCGTTCTACCGAACTTCACCTTCGACCTATGCATGTAACAGCGTTGCCACGTGTGCTACAATATAGAATTTATCTTCAATATGCGAACAAATATATACGCCAATGGGTCCGCATGACCTGGCTTTGGGACCAATGATCTAACATTTTCGGACATATTTCTACGGCATTGGGACACCAACGGGTCTAAAATTTTATAAGTTAGTAATATTTACGGCTTTGGTAAATTGAGACCATAGCACCTTGAAAATATATATATGGCGGCTGGGACTACAGACCTACTTTTTAAAAAACATATATGTGCGGCATTAGGACAGAAAGGGTTAATATTTTCTTATTAGTCAGTGGGCTATGCTTGAAGACTGGCAGTAAACAAATCTAAAGAAATGAACTTTAAATGTTCAAGCCAGTCTCGAATATACCTACACAGTAGGTTGAGTGGACTGACACCTATCAGAAACAACAACTCCCTGGCTAATACCATGAAGGGCGTTGGATTATATCCGAATATACCTACTGTGTAGGTATGCCCTTCATGATATTAGCCAGGGGAGTAGTTGTTTTCTGATAGGCGTCAGTCCATTCAACCTACTGTGTAGGTATATTCGAGACTGGCTTGAACGCTTAAAGTTCATTTCTTTAGATTCCTTAATATATTTTCCTGAAATTGCATTCAAGTATATACAAATGCAGAAGTTCAAAAAACCTATCAAAGTAAATAAATTCAAGAATAAACATCACAGTAGACCCACGGTGTCAAAATACAGAATTTTCCAATTATAGAGTACTGCGACCCTTTGTAGTACTGCCAGAGCTTTAGTTTCTGGGTTTGGAAAAAAATTAGTATATTTGACGTACAACAATTAATAAATATGTAGTATATAAAGAAAGAATGATTGTTTGACTGCTACTACAGATACGGGTTACATTAAACCTGAGATAATACGCATCGAGTCAAATGCATAGTGGCGAGAACTTAAGCAGGGGCCTGATTACTGGCTGTCCACTGTATACTAAATTATAGTAGATAGAAAAGAGAAACTACATTTGAAACATCTTAAGTTTATGCTTAAAATATTATTACAAGCAGTGAAAAGATTTTCATTTAGTGGAAAAGTTTCTGTAATTTTTGTAATCTAATAAATCAAACCTTTTGTGAGTTCTCTAACTCCATATTTCTGTGAATAGACGTACGCCAGTGTATCTCCTACATTACAAACACAGCAAACATACTGAATTTCAGTCTCTCTTCTCTCTTCACCATTTTGAAGCACCACTCTCCTTTCTAGTTTTTGCTTCAATGGTAATATAACTGCAACAGTCAATGTGGTGAGCATGCCTCTGTTTTCCAGAATAAGATCATGAGCACAGTTGAAAGCGCGCAGTAAACAAATAAATACTTCTCGAGTGTTGCTGATCAAGTTGATACTTTCATCTACAATGCTACTTGATGTGGAGCTTTCATCAGTCTTTATTGTGAGATTTTCAAAAGGTTTCGTATCATTGAATATGGTTTTGTTCAGATAATGGAGACTTCCATGAACTGCAGATTTCGCAGCAATGCTTGCTTTTTCACCTACCAAAATAAAAGAGTCCAATATCAAAAATATTATTGATTCAAACATCCACAGAGGAAATGATGAGTTTGTTTACAATTTCGATATTCCTGATGTTGTTTTTCCATTCTGGATTAGTTTTTATATTATATTTTTGTATTAAATAATTGACAAATTGCATAGGTTGTATTTTCAAAACTGAAACTCACTTTTGCTTAGGACATTTTCAAAACAAGGTAATTTATTGAAAATTGTCATGTAAACAAATTGTGCAGTAATATCGAAAGTTGGATAGGAAATCACATTGCCACAAATTATGTAAAGTATTGCAGGTATGTATGTATGNCAGAGATTATAATTCTACTTTCAAGATTAGATTCACTTAGAAAAAATCACATGCACATGCAAATAGTTGAAGTATAATGCTAGAATACATACCATGCTTCAAAAATAAAAAAAATCAATTCAAAAAACAAGCCCAAAATAAAATATTTATATAAATAATATAATTCAAAAACAAACTTCAAAATAATTCTATTCTAAAATAGCAAAAATAAACACTTTATAACCACACCATGCTAAAATTTTACCCCTCATATTCCGCCTATCTATTTTAATAATTTTTCCTCTTTTCTTTTGATGAAAGGGGTTTCCCTCACTTTTAGACTTGGACAGCTCATAGCTTTCAACTGGCTTTTCTGTTTTATCATTATTTCGTTGTTTCAAATTAGTTCTGTTTGGTACTGAAGTTCTTGAAATAGGTTTCTTCTCAATAACTTCTTTACATTTTGGAACAATTTCACTGTTTCTAATAGGAATATGGGGATCTTTTGGCGAGATTTCTTTTATATCATTGCAATCGATTTCATCATCATTCAAAGCTATGTTTTTACATTCTACACTTTCACAATTATTATTGTTAGTGCAGTAGAAACTTTTATCAATTTTAGTTTTTTCAATTTCAATGTTGAAATCTGAAATGCTGCCCAAGCTAAGACTTTTACTGCGCCTCTTTGGCTTATTGATTACACAATATTCATGTCCAGCGACTTTTATGATCATTGCAGTATTATCAATAGGTTGTCCAGGGGATAACTTATTTGGTGATTTCTTTGGTAGATTAGTTGATACTGAAATGAATTGAAAATAAAATGCATTTATATTACCTCCGTACCACTGCAGAAATGTACAGCAAGTTAACAACTAGTTATTTCTCATAAAAAATACTCTGATTGAAAAAATAATTGAATAAACGATCATAAACTTACCAGGTTCGTCATCGTGAGTATCAATATAATCAATATCAGCATCTAACATAGACAAATGTTTTTCAGTTCGTTTAACTGTGGTAAGTCCCCCATTAGGGCCAGAATAACATCCTATGACAGTGTTTGATCCGCTTTCATAATGATCTAAATCATAATTCGGCAAATCAGTAGGATTTTTTCCATAAATGATTGGTGGACCATCTCGTAGGGTAATTTGTCTTGAATAAATATGAGTATTATTAACTGAGTGATGAAAATTTGATTTACTGTTGCTCACCCCAATAAATATTTCGTAACGAAGGAATTTTCATTGATATTGTGTCTTTTGTCTCTGGTTTCATTGTGAAAGCTCAGTTGTCTGAAGTAGCTCGAAACCCTTTTCCTCAGTGAGGGCATCTTTTGAAGTGTAATGTTTATACACAACAATAATATCAGATCATTTTCACTAAATAAAATGGTCTACTGGCATTGTACATAAGAAAAAAACTTGATTCCGTATATAGTTTCACAAAAAAGTAATCGTAAATTATGATACTAGTTCCACAGTTTATGTTGATATCATTAATTAAAAAATAGTCACACCCAACCTAACCAAAGAAAAATATGCCATTTAAACAACCGTTTCTGATTACTGATTCTGGCAAAAGGTGGCAAAAGCAAAATTCAAGTGATGTATGATAAAAGTGACATAAGTAAGTTATTTGCACGAAATTTGGTAACCGGGGTTTTTTTGACGTGGGACATAAAAACTTGGCAAGTTGACTTGGGTGTCACACTTATCCCCGACACTCTGTCGAATGAGGTCCTCATGTCCCCCGTTAACGGATGAATAACTTTTTCATCCATCCCACCCCAGCCAGGGGTATCCCGTGAAGGGCGGCACTGATGTCTAAGGACTTCATGCCGTCACCAATCAGTCATGAACCCATTGGTCCCTCTCAAGACCAACAATCAGCCAAAAGGGTAGGGGAGCTGGTCTCCAAACCTGGATGAAATGACGATGACATTCTGGTCTTGGGTGCCACACACCAATAGGTGGTTCCACTTATGTTTCGCTTG